AGGCCTTTAGGAGGCACCTTTGTAAGATGCCTTTTTTATTATTGTCTCAAAATACAACATGTATCAACCAACATTCAGTAGCTGCTGTCAAATTCAAATTTCAGGAGATTTGTGAAAGGAAGAAATACTATCTGCATATCATTCTTCTCATTATGATCTCCCTGTGGCCTTCCTCCTTAATCCTTTCACCGTTGCATAAGAGAAAGGATATCACAAGCTCAGGGATTGTTTATACTGCTGCACGACCAACGGTCTCAAATCTTTTTATGGGGTAAGATGGAAAGTGGGTGTTTGGCAGCACAGTTCATGGAGAAATTCTGCTGCCTGAGAACTCAAGCAATAGAAGGACAGGTTAACATACAGAAAGGAAAAGGTTTTCTGTGTTTGCAGCTTCTCATGGTTGAGAACCCGGAAGATCCTTCATGGCAGGGCAGAGAGCTGCTCTTGAGGACAGTGGAAAGTTCTAAAGTTTTGCAAGTCATATGTGAAGTCTGGAACCATCTCCAAATTCTCCTGAAATACTCAGGTGATTGAACCATGCGTATTGGTTCAGGCACAACTTTTAGAAGGATGATATATAGGTTACTTATAAAAATTCTTGATCTTGAGTATTGCTACAACAGTCTGTTTTCAGCCTGGAATTCAGGTTATGAAGTGTTTCTGACTTCAGTTTCAGAGGTGTAGCAGCAGTCAGCAGAGATACATTATATATGGGAGACAACAACTGTTCTTTTACTAAAAGCATGGAAAACAGTATCTGCTCATGAGAGATCGCCTGAACATCTCTTAACCTAACCATATTCATAGGCTTTTTTTGTCTTTCCTACTTCACACCCATCTATTTAAAGCAATTACAACTCCTTGTAACTTCAGTGAGATCTGGGCCATGAGTTTCTCACTATAATACAAGAAGGGTAGCTGGTAGCAATAAGAACTGCACAGAAGGTGAAGAGTTGGGCACAATATGCCCTCCTCCATCTCACAAGTATTTGTGAAATAGATTGGGTTTTTCCAACTGGCAGGCTGAAAAACCAAGAGCCTGGGAGCTCTGGTGCATGAGCTGGGTAGAACCCAACACCTCTTCACCAAACTATTTACTGTATGTGCATCCTGCAGTGGAAAATCTTTCCACCAGAGCACTCCAACTGTCCAGGTGGAAGATTTTGGTTGGAATTCAGTGCAAAATGCATTGTATTATACACAGGCTTCTGTGTTTACTGTATACGGTGTGGAGAGGTGGTGTTACATACTCAGCACCTTGCAAGGCTGAAGGATACCTACACTGTCCTAACTAGGCTAGGTGATGTTCTCAGACCACTGTTGTGAGATACCTGATCTGCTCCAGCCTTGCATTTAGCCCAGCTATGTACACAGGTACCACCTGGCATTTTGTTGTTACTTCGGTATCTAACGAACAATGAAAAGTGCATCAGAAAAGTGGGTTGAATTTGATACAGAAAAAAAACACAGTATCAAAGGAGCTTAAATGTAAATGTGTTGCTAATCATGAAGGTTCTTGGAAGCCAGTGTGTTTAGCTGGGGCAGCAAGCTTAAAAAATACTAGAGCCAGATGGGCTGATTCATACATCAGTGTGCAGCCTTATCTGCTGAGAAATCAAACCATCAAGTGGAATATGGAAACCCTTTCTAAATCCTGCAGTTGTGTGGATTTGCTTCTGGTGTAAGCTTCCCCCACCTTAGATTTACCTATTCCAGAGTATACTCAAAAAACTGAGATCTTTAATTAGACTCTAAATGCTCTGATTTGCAATTGTTCCATGTAGAAAGGACACAGTCTGCAGTAGCTGTTGTATTTATAAAGGCACTGTCCACAGTAGTGCCATAAGACAGCTGCAGCTAAGTGCTGGAACAACTTGGACATGAAGTTTATGTTCATGACAGGAGACAGGAGGTCTGAAGTCCAGTCGAGCTCAAGAGCCAGTGCAGCTCTAAGAACAGCAGTGAGTTCTCTCTCTGACTCTGTACATCACCTCTGCTCTGGCAATGCCTGGAGCAGCCCGAGGTGGAAGGAAGGAGTTCAAGCTCGGAAGCATGCAGTGCCCTTCTGGGTCTCACTAACGTGTTAAAGAGTCACAACAAATCTGAACCTAGTATTTTTAGTTGCATATGTCTCATAATAAGAATCTAATTCAAATAGAGAAATATTTTTTGGAGATGCAAGAGGGAAGCCTATCTAGTTCTATATAAGACACAAGGTCTGGATTTTGCCAGTGCTAGAAAGAATAGGTTTCAAAAAAAAACCCCACAACATTTAGCAGTGACTCTGTGGTAGAAGCTAGTAGGATTGAACCACTGGTGAGAAGCAGAAGATGCTTCATAACATATGTCTGACAACTACTTAAGATTCATGGTAGCTGGTGCCAGGGAGACAGGATACAAACACTGCATCTCTTTGTGTCAGCAAGTCCAGTGTCACTATGGATGCAGGAGACATTAATTCCACGGGGAGAGCAGTGCCAACTTTTCTCAAAGGAATCCCTTCAACAGCTCCTCCACTTAGGTAGTTATGAAGTTCAGTTTCCAATGAAAGTCGCTGCCTCCTGGCATCACCTCTGCTTCGTTAAATAAGGAGATGGTTATTTGGGCAGTTACACAACTACAGGGCCTGTAGAAAGGCATGAGGAAGAGTCCAAAGTCACTGTGACTGGGCTACTCATTTCTGGAACACAGCTTGAGAAACTGAGGGGAAATGTACGTGGAAGAATTATAATGAGCATTTATGAGAGTAATTCAAATGGATGGCTAATGGCCAAAGCTCTGGCACCTTCCATTAAAAAACAACCAGGGAAACCTGAGAAGTGAATTTTCTGCATATCATGGGGTGCTGCACAACAGGCATTGTATGCCAGACACATAGGAATGGAAAGCTGGCATAAGGTGTGCAGGAAAAAAAGATTCCTATGCAGATCAGGCATGAATATCACCACTGAAGGCACAGCACCAAATACAATATGAATAATTACTGCAGAAAGCAGAACGCAAATAACCTCTGAAATCACTGGAAATTCCTGGTCCTTTTTCCTAACATTGGTGCAGAGCTATCTGAATTAGAGATTCAATTAAGGAAAAAATAAACTTTAGTGGGACCTCATTTTTAATGAGATGCTGCCCAGCTAGCAGTTGAATGGCCCACCATAGGTAGCAGATGACTATAGGTGGACTCCAAGAGCAGTCAAGAGAAGATAATGAATCACAGTCCAGGAAAGGCTCATTCTGATAATTTTCTAGATCTGTCAGTTTAAACACACAGTATGAAATTCTAGCTGAAGACTGTGAATAGCAAGAACTTAATTTGACAAAAAAGACATGAGAGTTTACAGGGGCCCTTACTCTTCCTTACTAGGTCATTGTAGAGTGTTTTAAAATCTTGATAGGTATCACAACATTTACAGCCTCATGAACAGAAAAAAGCCAAACAGTTCACTGCCAAAGACCACTTGAAGCAAAAACCTGTCAATCTAGAAGCATATATGTTTCTATACTAAATATTGTACAGAGATGTTAAAAGACAGCATGTTTCCAACAGTTAGAAGGGGTTTCTAGATGAATCCCTTGGCAACCGAAGTTTAGATTAGCTGGAAAAACAGGCCAGATTTTTAGCACACCAGTCCTTTTGATCTGAAAACATAAAAGGGGTTCATGTTCCCAGCATCTCATTGCTTCATCTAACAGTATTAGTTGGTCAGATAAACCATACTACCTTGCAAACTTTCTTTCCTAGGTTTTAGACCATCACAGCTAAAACTCTACCATCAAATAGATGCCGAAGTGTTAGATCTGAAGTTGAATGGGCTGACTCCCACCCACAACACAAGAGTGGCAGCATGGCATCAGGCGAGTTACATGCTTGAAATGCTTCCTCACCACTGATTCAAAAAGGATTCTAGATACCCAGGTCAGATACTGACATGCACATCTGTCAGGCAGATGCATATAACTGTCAGGACAGATGAATCTGACCCAAAACTGGTGGGTGGGTGCTCTTTATTCTCCCGTAAGCACAGAGAACTCACTCCAGTCCAGCTGAACGGCACTGACTCCCACACTCGTGTCCCCCACCACTGCGTGCTGCCTCCTGCCCACGGGGTTTGGGCAGGCACCAGCTCTGTTCCTCAGACAATGAAACTCACTGGAGAAAGTCAAATAAACCCCTTTCTATGATGCTGCATGAATACTCTTTTATAAGTGGGAATGAGGGGTGCCACTAAGACAGACATTTAGGGAAAAGCTCCAGTCAGCTCTACCAGCCATTAGGCCATGTCGGGAATGCTGTAACAGCCTCGTGAAAGATCCTGCTTAGTCTCTTTCATACAGTGGCTCTTAATAATGAGCATATAATAAATGTACAGTCTGGAGAAATTTACTATACAGTATCCAATTGGATTTATATAGTCATAAACTTCCACAGCACTGCTTCTATGATTTACAACAGTCTCTACTAATTATGAAGCTATGCCTGGACTTAAGATGTAAAAGGCAAATGTTACCAGGCTGGCTGTACAGCGATACTATACAAATGCACATTTGCCACAGCAATTTTGAATTGCTTGTTAGCAGAGAACCCTTGCAAATAACCATATATTTTAGCCTGCTCTTATGAAAAACACCAACAGCAGGAACCTACAAGTCTGTGGGATGGGGTCTTATTGTGATGGAGTTTAGCAATACAGGAAGGAGTGGGGAGAGGATAGTTCATGGACCCCATCAATGAAACTTCTGCTACTTTCTTCCTGGATTATAGGGGACTAGATTTTGTGGCTTACCTGATCCCTTCCTAAATCTATACTTCTGAGTTCCTGAAAAGAAACCACCATAGAAAATACTGTAACTTACTGTAGAACAAGCCTCTCGTGACCTAAATGGATATAGAAGGATGTTTACTTCACAGAAGTTTTCCAGCACAGACATTTAATTTTGCTGTTACTCAGCATATTAAATAACTATTTCAGAGAGGACTGTGTGTCATCAACAGGAGTTACCTGGGCATCGTGGGCAGCACAGCTGTGGTACGTGCACAGGGGAAGGACAGTGTAGACTTGGGCATCTTATTCTGCTGCACAACACGTTTCCATTCTGCAGGTGGAACACAGTACAACACTTTAATGAAATGGGTTGTCTTACCAGTTTCCATGTTCTCTGCTTTGTGTCTAGATATTTTAAAAACAAATGCCTTTTTACAACATTCTGGGTTTACTCACACCAGGGTAAGCCCAGACTGCTTTCACCACCTCTGAATTTATGGTGGTCAGGATGTAGCAGAAACCCATGCAAAACTAGAAATCAGAGCTAGTGCCTAAAAATGGATTGCAACAATCTCCACTTGTGTTTTGAGCAGATTATGCTTAGGGATTGTATTTCAAAAACTAAGACACAGATAATGAATGGTAGGTCTCTGAGATATCCCCTATTGAGGGTTAGTTCAAGACCACAAGAGACAATAGCATCTGTAATTGTTCCTGAAAACTGTGGAGAGTCTTTTGTTTTCATTTTTTGGGTTCCCCAGTAGACAAAAAAAACCAGTTGGTAATTAGCCAGTTTTCTAAGAAACACGAGCAAGTCTTGGGAATAGTGTTCATTATTCATGTCATTAACATAATATTCTATTTGACCACATCTAAGTTTGATTTATAATTAAAACACGGGGAATTTTCATTCTCCAGTGTCTGTAACCAGAAAAGACTATCCATTTCAAATTCCCATTTCCCATCTATAATTCATCCTTCTAATTTAGCTCTGAGCTGCTCATGTTTATAGCAAGAAGGATCTTTCAGCATGAACACACTGGTACTGTGCTACGAGTGTAGTTTCGGGTGGTGTCAGAAGAAACCTACTTTGTTTTCATGTGCCTTCTGGAGCACTGAACTGTTTCCAGTGGAGGTGCAGACTTCCTTAGATAGCATAGGGATAGGCTTTTCTAGCCATCCTTCTCAAAGTAACCCACTGACTCCTAAATAACTGCAGACCACAGGCTGGAATCATACTGTTGGATCATTACTACCCACAAACTACATTTGTGCATCTGCTTTGGAAAAGAGACACTAAAAACAATATCCCCATCTGTTTCCAATGACGACTGGAATTAAATATACTGATTTTATAGAGGAGAACCAAATTTTAGGCTGAGGACTCTCTGCAGGATAGGGACTGTCACTGGTCTGCCCAGCTCCTTGTCCAGCAGACCATTACCTGAGGGCCTGTGGAGCACTGCTGTAGAAGACAGGCTGGCACTGCCTGCTGGCCTGGCTCCAGGGGGCTTACTTGAGCTGTTAGTGGCCTTGCTCCTTTTTTAACCATTAGTCCTGTGAAATCTCCTGAGGTGAACATTTACTTTCTGTGCATCATCAGCTGTGACAAACATTCTGCAGGGCTACTTCACTCCTCAGTACTCTGCTGTCTGCAGCAGGACAGAACTATTTCAACTGATCTTGTGCTGGGTAAGACTGATCCTTGGACTCACAGTGATTTTGGGGAGATGAAGCCCTACTGACTAGAGTAGGACGTAGGCTCCTGTAGCCTCTGTGAGTCAGGGCCATGGTGCATTTCTGCATCAGGTACCCAAAGAGTAACAGTGCATCTCTGTCCCTGAGCTGTGATATCAGTGCTGAGTGTGGAGAGTGTTCATTTTAGCCTCTGAAGTCGGCAGATCTGACTATGAGCACAAACAAAAAGCTGCTGTTTTTAGAGAGTAATGATCTGACAAATTGAGAGTGCTCCAAGTTACCTGACAGTAACAGTCAACAGTCTCTCCACTGTGTATTGGGGGGGAGGATGGGTTGTGAAGAAAAGGGGGAACAGGGTGAGAACATTGAATTATGTTTAGTTTTATTCTGGTTTAAGTATATAAATTATAACTTGTAAAAATACAATACTACATACACACAAAACCAGGAAGGCTTTTTTTTTAAATCCCAGACTGAATAATTTGGCCTCTGTTTAGTTGGTTAATTTGTCTGGCCTTCTTCCTAAACACCAGGAGTGTGTGTGTTGGGGAGGATGGACAGACAGACTGTTGTTTAGAGATGGAAAGGGACCTTAGTCTGTTGCCTGGCTGATCTGACTTGTTTTATGCAGAGATCATATGGATCATAACGTTTGAGGCCAGCAAAGAAATTTTGGTCACACTAGTGTGAAGAGCCCTGGGGATTTTTTTTGCTTTGCCCCACAGTGTGGGGGAGCAGGTTGCTGCTTCAGGCTCTGCACATACCCTTTGCCTGACTGAGTCACTGCCAGGAATCAGGTGGGTTACACTTGGGTCTCTCTTACTTGCTGTCTGTGGCACACTGTAGCTTCATTTTTTACACTGTAGTATCTGGTTTAAGGTCTGTGCTTGTGCTATGTCATGACATGTTTTCTAATGCTTTATCTAGCCTTAATTTTGTTAAAATTATAAATTACTGAGAATTCCCTGATGATCTGAAGCTTTTACTACAGCTTAGTGTTCTGAGGGCATTTCTTTTGGCCAGGACAAAACTCAAATGAATGGCTGAGTGCTGCAGTTGTCTCAGAGTCTTTCTTCCAGGCAACAAGAGTCACATCCCAGAGATCCCTCAGCATCCTCACTGCTGAAATAACCCAACAACCCACCCAAGACAGGCTGCCAGCAATGTACTGGCTGTTTCACCACACACAGGCTCTGAAGGAGTTTTCAACTTTGCTTATAGATGAGCAAAAGGGAGTGGAAACTCAGGGACTTCTTTTCTTCCTACTACACTGCTTTTTCTCATACAGATGCATTCTGCTGCACACATCTGAGATAAAGCCAAGCTTGTGGGACTACTGTTCGTGCATCTCTGCACTAAATTGTAGTAGCAGATCCCTCAGAGCAAATGCTGCACAGGGGCCCAATATTTTACACTTGCAGGGAGGGAAAATAGCCAAGAAAACTTTATTCTGCATTAAATACAGAAGAAAAAAAATCAGCATCTGGAGTGCCTCAACCTCATGTGTTAGTAATTAAGATCCTTTATTGTTTAGTCATTTTAAAGTCCTCCAAGGGACATACTCTGCTCTCATTTTCCTGCAGCCCCCCCACCCAGCTGTATATGACATACTTTGGGGATCTATGACTGCTGTGTCTTTGTATCAGGCATCAACTGATAGTAGCCAGGAATCTGTCCTTTCATGTCCTGCCCAATCTGCTCTGCTCCTCACACCTTTTTCTTATCTTTCATAGATTTTTACAAATGGTGGTATCCACGAGTGTGCCTGCAGGATTAGGGCAGCAGATGCTGTGGCTGTGGAAATGCCTCTGAAGATGTGGGCATTGCCCATAGAACAAAACACCACCAAGTTCAGGTTCAGCATAATCCCCCAGCCTCTATTTCCTTCAGCATGATCAAGACCCACTAGTGAAAACGGGTTTGGGCTTTGTCAGATTGCAGCTACAGGAGGCAGGACTCTGGGCAGTTGAGCAAGCAGCTGTGGGCCCAGTGAGTGGGCAGTCCTACCTCTGCACACAGGCAGTTCACACAGTACACCAGGCCGTAGGGTTCCAGGTAAGGATGCCACCTTTCTCCTGCACGATACTTCTTGTCTTGAAACACACAGTACGTCTCTGAATCTGGACAGGGGTAAAGAATTGAGAGAGCTATGAATGAACACTGCCTTTCCTTACTTACAGAGTGGTTTGGGGTGTACAGTGTTCTCTCTAAACTATGCTTGTGGAAGGTACAGAAAATTTTGTAAAGAGTTACTATATTTTCTTTCCCCGGAGAATCACACAATGGAAATGTCCTTAATTTCATGTGCTGTTGTGCCTAACCCCCCAAACCAAAATACATGTCATGGCTTCCCATCTTTCCAAAACTGCAGCTCCTGTAGTAGCTGACAGAATGGCTTTTGTACAGGGAGAGTTTATCCTTTTACCTGCAAAAACACAGGCTAAGATCCTGTTTAGGTAAAAAAATTAAACTGCTTGATTGCTCAGACATGTTTATAGAAACAAAATGTTTTCACTGCAAAACCAAAACAATTGGCTCAACTTGGGAAAATCCCAGGTTGTACAGCAAAGAGATTTTGAACAAGGGGACTGCAGAAGGAAGATAAATACACTGTATTTACACTGCATGATCAGTATCTCCACATTTTAACAATCTAATAAAGAAGAATTTTGTCCTAGTATAGCAGAACAGTTTGTGCTGACATATATGCATCAGCATTTGAAGTATTTTAAGATGTTTCTGTTCATCAAGCACTTCTAATCTTGCAGGTGCAGTTTTGCAGATATCCATTAACCTATCAGACATTTCTGCTCTGTCTCTCTCTGTCACATTATGGTTTCACATTGAAAACTCAAATATCTTCAATAAAAGACTGTTTTTTCCTGTGTTTCCATGGGAGAATTCCTTCCTGGTATCTTAATAATGTCCAAATTCAGCTTAAATCATTACCCTCAGTAGAGATGATACTTCAGGGTATCAAACACGATACCTGCCTTCCAAGTGATAATCCAAGCAAGGGACATTCCTCACATTTACTGGGCTAAAAGGAGGTAGCAAGAGGCAGGGAGTATTAGTGGCCACTGTGAAGTGATCTGCTGTCACGTCACACAGCAGCAGGACAAATGGAAAGCAGGGTCTGGAAAAGCAGGATGGCTGAAGTGGAGTTTGGCAGGTGCTCCCACCATGCTTCCCCTGGGCAGGGATACCTGCACACTACTTTCTTTGACTAGGTTCAGAGGAAGTGGCCTTTTTGGAACTCTCTTTCTGTTTTGATTTGTTTTGGTTTTCCTTTTTAGCGACCTCCTTAGAAGCAGAAGCTGCTGATACTGAGGCTGCAAATTTTAACTAAATCTCAGGGCAAACATCATCTTTTGTAAGAGGGTGGCCAAATCCCAGCCTGTGCAGGTGGGGAGAGCATTCCAGAGAGCCAGTAACAAGGCTGTGGCAGTCACTAGCTCCTAGACTCATTTGGGTAGTCATTCCTCCTTGCCATGCTTTCTGAAATGTGTTAACATCTCCCACAGATGACAGGCTTTGTAGAAACTTTCCCTTTGTTTTGTTTGTATTCTTTTCAATTCTTCTCATCAAGTTTTTGACAGTGCTTACACTCTTAATTTTCTCAGAGGATGTATCTAATCCAGTTCATATGAGGTTGTTTTTGGAACACAACAGAAGAGTCTTGGACGAGCTTTACACTAGCTGAAAACTTCAGCACAATAGTCTTACACATGGGACAAAATCCAGATAATCCCTCAGATGTTTACAGAGGTCTCTAAAATGGAATTAAGCACTCTCTTGATTCAGGATATTTGAGATAAACCAGATTCTCCAATTGATGGGTTATGTTCTTTATGATGCAATGAAACCTGTACAGCCTAAGGAAGTGTGCCCCAAACGTGGGTGTGACCTGATTCTACTAAATGTAGGACTAGGAGGAGGAAGAATGTTAGAAGGTTTTGAACATAGTTCCACAGTCTAGGACATTCTTGTTTGCAGATCTTTTCTGAAGCACATCTGTCAATTAGAAGGAAAATGACAAATCTGGGTAAATGTAACAGCTTTGTTTGAAGTCTACTTACGTTTTACTTGTTCTAGTTTACCTCCATCTATGAAAAGGAGACAGAGCACACCAAAAAAGATAAAATGAAAATCTTCCAATATCCACTTTTTTCTCATCTTTATCGACAAAAGGCAAAGAAAGAGCCTCCAAAGCAGAGAATGTTGAGCTGTTGGGGAAGAAAAGATTAAATGAATTAAACTAAAATCTTGTGAGATACTGAAATTCTCTGACATGATTTCATCCAGCACACAGAAATCCTGAACTGCCAGAACGAAAAGTCTGTCTCTATCAGGGATCTTCATTTCATGGAAACAGCTTTGGCTCCAGGTCATTTCTGGAAAAGGGGCCACGTTCCCATTCATGAAAGCCGAAAACTTTATTACTTCTAATAATGTCCTTATTCTATTCCAAAGCAGAGAAATCTGGCAAGTGAGCAATCTAAATTCTTAAAGTTCTCCTTCACAAGAAACTAACTTAGGAGATGTTCTTGTAGGGCACTGTGTTGGGTGTAACTTGGGAAATACAGGTGTCAGTCGGGACACCTCTGCTTCCCTGTGCAACTGCCCTGGGGCAGAGCTGGTGCACTGGCCCCGTGGCCATGCTGTCCTCAGGGGCAGCCTGCCTCGCCTTTAACAGCCTTCCACACTACTCAGCTCACCCCTCCTCCCCTCGACCAGCTACTATTGTTCTGGGACTGTGTATAATTAATTTTTCTAGAGTTAACCCTTCCGTTGCCTTGATATCTGAAAGCAGAATGGGGGAATCTCTTCATTCTGGTAGATCTTTAATGTCAAAATCTCACATATGGGACAAAGCTGAGAGGATTCTTCTCTGCATGGTGCAGAGATGGCACTGATTTGCTACGTGTGCCATTCTGCTTCTTCTGGCTTTTAAAAGGTAAATTATTTTATAAATAAAAAAAATCAAGGGATGAAAGAATTAACTAAAGTAGAATGTTTTATTTTTCATAGCCTACCCAAGATTCTACATAGTTAATACTTTACTGATTACCAGAATTCACTGCAAAAGTATTATCCTCCCAGAGTACACTTGTCCATAAATTACAACGTTGGAAAGATTGGGGTTTGATTTTAAGAGCCTTGATGTGGATTCACAGTTAGCTTTACAAAAGCTAAAAGAAAAAAAAAGAGATTCACTACTGGAAAAATAAACATTCAGCTTTGTAAACTGATTTGACCTCTTCAGATTTCATGTAAATAGTACAACTGCACACGGATACGGTTCAGATAACCCAAGCAGAAGTAATAATTTATATATGTATATTCAGAATTAAGTGGTGGATAACTTAGAGACTGCAACTAGGCAATAAGTTAACAAGCACTTAAAATCTTCCTGTTGAGACTGTTGAGATCCAGCATACTGTAAAAAAGAAAGGATGATCTGATTTTATCAGGTTTTACTGTCTTTACTGTTCAAGGGTTCTCTGCACTCCCAAACCATGACCAGAATGGACATCTTCCTTAAGTAACAAAGTCTATGCAACTACTCTGTCTGTACTCAGCAAGTTCTTTCAAAATAGTGCAGATTGCAGATTCATAATGCAAATTCAGATGCAAATTGCATCTGAAAACATTTTACAACCTCCCCTATTTTAAAAGCACACTCCCTATGCAGTAACAAAATATAACTTTCCATTTCTTTTGGAAGCTGAGAATAATATTCCAATTTCAGAAGAAGAGGTTAAGTCATTTTTTCCTTTCAAATCACATAGGACATTTTAAAGCCAGACAACTTTTTAAAAACTTGTTTAAAATTAAAAGCTCATAATTTAGTCCCAGGACATCATGCATGCATTGAGAACAACAGCAGCACATCACTAGGACTAGCAGAAATGTGAATGTTTCAATATTTTGGCCTTCCTGGGGGTTGTTTAAGCAAACAATACTTATAAAGGGAGCACAGTTCTCCTTTGTGGAGCACTTTACCTGTTAGCTAGCCTGGTTAGCTGGAATGGAAGGGCTCAGAAATCTATCCGTTTTACATGGCAGGTCTTCAAAAGGAAGAACATTTTAAAACTTGGGGCTGCTTACACTCAGAACTGCTGCACGGTACTGTGAAATGGAGGAGTTAATAACTGAAACGGGATGGAGACTTTTGATGTCTTTTCTTAATTCTCTTTAATTTCTGTATTGTTGTTACTCCAAATATAAACACATACTTTTCACTATTAGCACACTCCCTTCATTTCCCCAAAGGGCAACGTCCTAAAAATATTCCTGGATTTAAATAATCTCAGTTAGGATTAACCTGTTAATTATTGGTGTGTTTTCTGCTAAGTAGAAACAATGAAAGCAATCCACTTCTCACACGAATTGCTGCCTGAAATCCGGCGTGCGGGTCTGGTTTTAACGCCTCGCTCTCCAAAGAGCCCGCTTTAGGCACTACAAGTGGCAGCGTCCGGCCTCGCCAAGTTTTACGATTAATGATAATAATGGTAATAACAGCAACAGAGCACAAAAACCCACCAGGACTGAGACTCGGAGGAAGACACCGCGCACTGCTAGGACCGGCGTTGTGCCGCGGGGCGAGCGGGGCCGGG